TGAATGATCTAGTCTGCTTTTAATACTTTCAAGGGAGATTTTTGACTTCTTGTATTATAGACTTCATCTCTAGCAGTTCTGTTTGAGTCTTTTGTAAAGTGTGTAATTCCTCTTTTAGATCAAGGACCTTCTTTTAAAAGCATCATAGCACATACAGTGTGGGAGGAGGGTGGAAAACTGAGGAAGGTGAGGAGGGAATAAAGGAGAAGAATAAAGAAACAAAACATTTAAGGGACAGGAAAATGGAAAATTATCAATTGATGATGATGTATATGGTAATATCTCTGACTAGACCAATATACAGTGTATCAGTGATGGGAAAATTTATTTGATATGTTGTAATGATACACAGTAACTGAATGTAAAAAAAAAAAAAGAAAAAGAAAAATACACTGATAAATGAATAAATAGAATCATCATAGCAGATTCTGCACTCAGCAACTGTGGTTAACTGTTAACCACAGTTAACCACATCATCTGGGGTGAGGGGAGGTCTACCTTGTTGAGTCCAGGCAGAGCCTCCATCCCTGCCAATATATCCCTGTACATAGGCCCACCAAGCAAGCACTGGGAAGACTGGGAAAAAGGCCAACAGGTGTCCATGGAACATGCCACAGTACCCACCTCCTCTATAGATGCCCATTGGTGACCTTCCATATGAGTTACAGAGCTCCACACTTTGTATCCCAGAGGTTCATTGACACACTTCTTCCCCAAACCTCATTACCATCTTGCAATTTCCTTTCCAACCCACTGACCATCTGACAAAACCATTATCCTGTTAGCAATCATCCATGAGTAGTGTAGATTTGCACTCTGGACACCTCTCAATCCACAAAGTGGACAACCAAATGTACCACTCAACATTCTGCTTACTGGGAGGCCTTTCCTTTGCCATTGTCCTCCAGAGCCACCACAGGATGGGGCTACAAAGCTGCAGATGGCCACTCTTGGTTGATCCTGTCATATCATGCAGAAATACCTGTAAGGTCAGCAAGACCTTCTCCTTGATCACAAGAAAATCATGTGTTTTACTTCACTGTGTTGCTAATAACAAAAATGCCTGAGTCTGAATGATCTGTAATAGGTTTATTCACCTGATAATTTTGGAGATCCAAGATCAAGGAGCCACACCTGGTGAGGGTCTTCTTGTTCCTGGGTTCTGAGGCAGAGCATCACATGATGAGGCAGATCCTGTATATGTGTGTCCATGCTTCTCCTCTGGTCTCTCTCCTTATAAACCCATCAGGATTCAATCACAGGGGATGCACCACCCTGTTGACCATTCCAATTACCTCCCAAAGACCCCACCTCTCAATCTCAGACTAAGATTTCACCCTCTTAATCCCACCACAATGACTCACCAAATTTTAATATATGAATCTGGGGCAAGGGTGAGGATGTGGGGAGGGGATGTACATATAGTCAAACTATAGCACCATGTGACTCTAGTCATAATTAAAGGAAAAGAGGTAATGCAGTAGGAGTTGACCTCGAAGGAATCAGAGCTACCTACATGTGTAACTTACTGGTGATTTCCAAACCTACTCAAGTTCCATGTCTCATATACCATTTATTTATACTTGATAATACATTGCTGCCATTTATACTCAACCTCATTATTTGGTGGGTCAGAAAACATGTCACTCATGATAGAAAACTCAAGTCCTACGGTCACTTAATGTCCTAAGTTAAGTGTTCAGTCTCTACTAGGGCTTAAGAGCAAATAAGTTTCTCAAATGGCAAATAATTATCTACAGAAGAAAGTATGGTGTGGATCTGCTCTAAAATCCTTGGAATCTGCACTGTGATTCTTTAGTTCCTGCCAAAATCTCCATGTGTATAAATTATTTGCTGCACACACTTCAAGTGACTGGCTTTGGAGGGTTAGAAGACCCAAGTGGCAAACCAGCTTGCACTGCAGCCTGGACATGCTGTTCAGAGCTACTCTGTCTCTGAGTCCTACTCAGAAGAGGCAGCCCTTGGGTTCCTGGTAATTCAAAGTTGTATGCTTAAATACGATACAAGTTGCATCTAGCATCTAAAATTGTGCATACGCACTGCTAAATCTAATGTCCCAGCATCTGCAGATATTGCTACTCAAACTGACTAGTGCAGTAGAACATATCTAAAACCACCTGGGAAACTCTTTAAACAATACAAGTCTTGCCTACCACCTGAATCAGAAGCACTAAACAGTGGGCCTTGGCAACCAGTGTGGAGCCCAGGTTGAAAACTTTATTATTTTTTTTTTCTAAGAGGTTTTTGCCTCAGGGTGTCTGCACGCACTGGAGAGAGACAGAGACAGTGAGAAAATGAGAAATCACCAAGGGGGAATGGCCATGCTACAATCCCTTCTCCTCCAGTCTCCTCCCAGGATCTTAAGTATAAATGCACACATGCCCAGCATGTTTCAAGCCACTGGGTCCGGAACTTGAACCATGGTCAGCCATGTGGGAGTCCAGCAGTGTAACCACTATGCCATCTGCTGGCCCCCAAAACTTGATCCTGATACTGATTATCAAAGCTGGAGCACTCTTTTTTTCAGACAGCCAGGTAGATGGCAGACATTCAGATCAAGCACATTTACCAAAAGCAGCCGACCATCTTTCAAAATATGAAGAAGGTCCTGTTTGGAGAAACTGGCAAGGAGATGCTCCCAAGATACTACAAGAATATCAGTCTGGGCTTCGAGACTCCCAAAGCAGCCATCGAGGGTACCTACACTGACAAGAAATGCCCCTTCGCCAGTGTCATCTCCACTTGTGAGCGGATCCTGTTGGTGTGGTGGCCAAGTTGAAGATAGAAAGGACCACCGTCCACAACATCTGCAAGTACAATCACTTTGAGGAGCACCACAAGAACATGTCTGTGCACCCTTCTCCTTGATTCAAGGACATCCAGGTTACTGACATCATCACAGTGGATGAGTGCTGGCCCCTTAGCAAGACTGTGCGCTTCAACATACTTAAGGTCACCAACGCCACCAGCACCAAGACGTAGTTCCAGAAGTTCTGAGGCAAGATTCCCACCCACTACCCATTAAAATAAAGTTATCTCCCCCCCAAAAAAGTTGGAGGACACACTTGGATCATACCATATCCCTTTCATTGTAAGAATTTACAACTATTAACATAGTTACCCTTACAAGTTAGTGCTCTTCCCATCATCTTATTTACAAGTAATAAGATTACTTGACATCACTCATATTTATTGAATAGCCACAATACTAGAATTAACTAATTACTGAAGGTCCTGAAGCCAGTGACACAATGTGATTAGACACAAGTGGTGACTGCATGAGGTCCTCACTAAATGTCATTTACAAGAATCAACATCAGATAATGTTCTATGACACAGTTCTTATATTTAGGTTTCATGTGAACATATTTACATTCAAAAGTGTAAATATCGCTAGAGGTATGGTTAGGTTAGGTTTGGGGTTATGATTAGGGTGTAGGATTAGGGTTAGGCTTAGAATTTGGGTTAGGTTTTGATTTAGAGTTAGGGTTATATTAGGGTTGGGGTTAGGGTGAGGCTGTAGGATTAGGGTTAGGGCTAGGGTAAGATTTAGGGTTTGAGCTAGGGTTAGGGTTAGGTCAAGTTAGGAGTTAGGGTTAGAGTGTAGGATTAGGGTTAGGTTTAGGGTTCAGTTTAGGGTTAGGGTTAGAGTTTGAGTTAGGATTAGGGTTAAGTTAGGGTTGGGGTTAGGGTTAGGGTTATGTTTAGGGTTTGAGCTAGGGGTAGGATTAGGTTATATCTGGGGTTATAGTTAGGGTGTAGGATTAGGGTTAGGTTTTGAGTTAGGGTTAGGTTAGAGTTGGGGTTAGGGTGAGGCTGTATGATTATGATTAGGGTTAGGGTTAGGGTTTGAGCTAGGGTTAGATTTCAGTCAAGTTTGAAATTAGGGTTAGAGTATAGGATTAGGGTTAGGCTTAGGGTTAAAAAAAGTGCAAATATCTTCATGAACTTTTGGTGAGCAGAGGTTTGGGGTGTAACCATCTCTAAAAAGAAGACTTTGATGCTATTTTTATATGTAACTCAGAGTGCTAACAGCTAAAAACAGAACCTATACCAAAATTTCCACAAACAAAATCCACCGAAAGTTATAAAAATATTTTATTTAAATATTACAGAAAGATTACACACATTTGAAAATTATTAACTTGTTTTTATATGTTAAAAATGCTAAAAATCAATCATTTACACAATGATAAAATCTAAAGTGACAAAAAATCATAAAATACTTTCATTTGGTCCGTTTACCTAACAAAACTACTATAAAAATGAGATTTATAGCAATTACTGAAGTTGAGTTAAAGGCACATGACAATGTAATTCCTTTATATACACATCCAGTCACTTCATACAGTGAACCCTGAAACAAATGCATGAACAAAATATTTAAAATACTGCATTTATGCACCTGTAATGAAACCACTTTCTCCAAAGATGCAAACAGATTAGTACTGCAAAAGAGTTATTTCTGTATAACTGACTTGTAAAAATCTTGATAATCAATTGAGTTTACACATACATAAATGAAATAATTTATTCTGATTTCAACAGTAAATCTGCAATGGCACAATATTCTCAAGGAAACCACTCACTTCATAGATGTAAAAACACACTGTAGCTTTTTCACTATTTCTCTGTGATGCCTTCAGCTATCTGGGCATTTAATCATTCACTTTAAATTTACAGGTCCTTCAATCTGAAAGAAAATCAGCATTTATATCCCAAGCAAACATTCCATCTCAAGCTACTGAATTCAACATAAAAAAGAAGAGTTCAATCTACCTATGATATACTGGGTTGTCGGAAAAGTCATGACGTATTTTTTCTATGTTTTTCTATGCAAAACTGCATCATGACTTTTCTGACCACCCAATACAACACGTCTGGCTCTCCCAATTCTAAATTGAGAACAATAAGTCAAAAGCTGATAAATATCTGTAAAAACTCAAAACTAGCCAAAGAAGATTCAGCAATAGAAGGGGAGGAGTGAGAGACGGGCTGTAGTGAGGGAATGTTCTGTGATTACTCAGAAGCCTCAAGCTCTACTAGCCACTCGCATAAACAGGAGCGCAGGGCATGCAAGGAGTGCCAATGGTCCCTAGACGGCACATGTGGAGGACACTGTATGCATCAGCAGTAGGGTCACAGGCGGACTAGTTAACTATGAAGGACTTCAAAAGTTTGTGGGAAGAAAAGTACAAAACAAAAACTGAAATTCATGCATGGTTTTGTCATAATATGCATTTTCCATGAACTTTTTGAAGACCAATTGTATTTCCAAACCGGCAACAAGATTGTGTCAATTCCTTCTTTACTCGGTTACGCTGACTGACTTTAAAAATCCTACAAGGAGAGCATGCTGTTTGTTAGCTGAAATGTCAAGTTTTACTTAAAACCCCAATAATTTAGTGCATTAACCAGTATACTCTGGCCTTACTTTCTACATCTGTAAGCTGGTGAACAAAGCTTTTCTGATGTAAGTGACATGAAGGGAGGAGCTTTCTTTCTTTTCCACTATGCCTCTAAGCACTGGGAGTTGAGTATTCTCAATACATACTTATTTAATAAATGGGTTATCTGACACCACCACCACCACCCCCACACTATCTAAGGCAGCAGGTCCAAAGATAGGGTAGTCTGTGCTGAGGCAGAAATTACTATAAATAATCCAGAAGAAAAAAGTTGACGTGTCATCACTGAATTTTTATAAGGCTGCCAGGACAGTTAGAAAATGGCAGATTTTTTTCCCCACAGTTTGGTTAAACTGACCATCCTTCCCATAATCCCATTCTTTAAGAATGATCTGGCCAACAGTCATTGCATATAAATTCATGAAAGTTGACTTCAAGGTAAAATGATCTAATATGTGAAATTATCTATTGCGTTGCTGGAAAATTCATAATACATTTTTGCATAGAAAAATATGTCATGGATTTTCTGACAACCCAAAATATTGGGAAGTGTGAATACTACCATTATGATAGGTCTCTGAAAAGCAGAGTGCCTTCTCTACAAAGCAGTCATTTACAACTAAATTAAAAAAAAAAAAAAATTAGAGGCCTCAGTCCCCCTAGTGTTCAACAGATGAACAGCTCTGGTGAAAACATGACTAGAAATAATTCACAAGTAGTATAGCCACTGCAAATTTTCATGAAAGGCATTTTACAAAGGAGTTCATCATTAGAAATACTATTCTAGCAATCTTACCTTCAAAAATCATCCAAGGAGTGAGATAAACATCACAACTCCCATAAATTGGGTAAACAACAATAATGGAGTAAAAAATGACCACACGTGCCATAGAGCTATGTTGAAGCTGAAAAGAAGGACATAAATGAGAGTTGATCACTATATATAATTGTAATATACACAGATTATTTTACTCTAGATTCCAGATTTCAAAAACTCAATTTTGGGGGACCAGCAGATGGTGCAATGGTTATGTTGCTAGACTTCAAAGTAGTCAACCATGATTCGAGTCCCAGACCTGTCAGCTTAAAACTCACATAGTGCATGTGTGCGTACATGCACAAATCCCTATAAGAGAATGGAGGAGAAGGGACTGTGGTGTGGCTATCCCCCCATCCCAGGTGTGTGGGGGGGTGATTTCTCAATTTCTGTTCCTCTGTCTGTCCAGCAAGTGCACACACCCTATAACAGGAATCACTCTTTAAAAAAAAAACTCAACTTGGGAAAGTTAATCTGGTCAATAACTTTATATTTCTATGTATATTATATAGATAGATTATATACAGAGAGATAGATATTATATTTTCTATATATATGTGTGCATATGTAATAGATATAGTGGGCATCAGAAAAGTCATAATGCATTTTTGCACAGAAAAGCAAAGAAAAAGTACATCATGACTTTTCCGACAACCCAATGTATATAGTTCGTATTTTTCATTTATGTCATTTAGTCAATGCTGGAAAGGAAAACTCTGTACATATTTACGGTACTACCACAATTTCTTCAAAAAGTACTGGAACTACAGCTCTCTTAATGGGAGTTGGCATCTGCAATGGACCATGAATTAAAATGGCTACAGTCTGCCTTTATGATCTTGCAGTATCAAACTGCCATTAGTAAGAAAGTATTTTCTCTTAAAAACAGAATGAAAAAAGTAGCATTTATAATTTACTATTAAATTTTTCACTGAAAAAAACACTATTACTGACACAAAAGTAAAAAACAAAATTTTTTGTAGGTACAAAGGAGTTTTAATGATTAAACCTGTAAGAATAAAAGTTAACAAGAAAATTTTAATCATCAATTAAATGAGCTTCTCAGGTAGTTACTGGTTTTCATATATAATATTTGATTAATATGAATTTTAAACAACTATAACCACACTGGTCTAAGAAATGAACGTTTCTGGGAATTATCTTAGCCTAAAGAAAAATAACACATTGGTATGTCCATATCACTGAAAGATTAGTAATATCCACAATGTCAAATATCCTTCAACTTTAAAAAAAAAAATCACAAAAAGCATACATTTAAACTGATTATCTATAAAAGTGTGTGGTTTTTTTCAAAATCAAAATTCAATTAAAGTAAAAAAAGAAAAAACTAAGAGCCATACGTGGTTTGTGAAGAGCAGTTTTCTGGTTGACAGGATCATGGGATGGATTTCCTTCATGTTTTTCTGTCATTTATAGATAATATTTCTTTCTTTCTTTTCTTTTTTTTTTTGAGAGGTTTTGGCTATAAGGCACATGCACTTGCCATAAAGACAGAGAGAGACAGAAAGACAGAAAGCGAGAAATCACCCCCCCAGGGGGGATGGCCACACTGCAATCCCTTCTCTAGAGATCTTGGGCACACACACACATGCGCCTGGCAGGAGTTTAAGCCAGCAAGTCCAGGACTCAAACTGCTGTCAACTACATGGGAGTCCAGCAAATACTACTTTCACAAACAGAAAACAAAAACAAAAACTTTTTTTCCTATTAACTTATAAAGAAAGATATTCATTGTGCACTGCTGGAGAATAAAAATAACCTTAAGTACAACAATAGTGCACTGGTTAAATAAATCATGGTATGTCCATGCTAGGAAAACTATGTAACTAAAAGGATGAGAACTATTATGAATCATTATGGAAGAATTCCATACTATATGGTGCCACTGAAAAAGAAAGGGGGAAAAAAAGGATGAATAATCCCTTTGGAAACGTTTGCTGAAGTTGGAGGCATGCATATCCTATGACCCAACAATTTCACACACCCATACATACACCCACCAGAAACATGCCCATGCGTGATATAAGAGACATGTACAAGAATATTCTTACAAGTATCCTTCATAAGAAGCCCACAGAGAGGAGAATGGAGGAGAAGAGATTGGAGCGTGGCCATCTCCCAAGGGGTGATTTCTCGCTTTCTGTCTCTCTGGCGAGTGCACGCACCCTATAGCAAAAATCTCTCCAAAAATAAAAAGAAGAAGAAGAAACCCACATTGGGCATAACCCACACACTTTTAACAGTGGAACACACAAATTGGAATTCAGTTATAAAATGTAATGCTAAAAGCAATGAAGGGGAACAATATGGATAAATCATACACAATGTTGCACATAAATAGCCAAATGTAAAAGAATAAATACTGTATGAATCAATTTCTATAAAATTTTAAAAGACTAAACAGAATGATAGAATTGAAGGAGAGGCAAGAAGGATTACCATGAAGGTCAGGAGTGTTTACCTGTGGCAGGAAGGAAAAGTGCAGTGCCAGGGAGGGGTGACTCCACTCTCTTTCTTGCCCTGGGTGTGGTTTGCACCAACGGTCATTGCTTGACAATTCATTTACCTATATCTTTTATTTTTTCTACTTTTTTGTTCTTATCATACATCATGATTTAAAAAATTAAAAAGCGGAACCAGTAGTTAGCGTAATGGCTATGTCGCTGGACTCCCATGTAGTTGGCCGCAGTTTGAGTCCTGGACCCAGTGGCTTAAAACTCATGCCGGGCGCATGTGCATGTGTGCCCAAGATCCCGAGAGGAGAATGGAGGAGAAGGGATTGTGCGTGGCCATCCCCCCTGGGGGTTTATTTCTCGCTTTCTGTCTCTCTGTCTCTCTCTGTCTGTCTGGCAAGCGCACATGCCCTATGGCAAAAACCTCTCAAAAAAAAAAAATTAAAAAGCAAAACCCAAAATACGCTTAAAATGTGGCCATCTCTGTTTTAAATAACAAGATCCATAAAGAGTGAAAGATATTGGGACCAGCGTTAGCATAATGGCTATGTCACTGGACTCCCATGTAGTCGACCACGGTTTGCGTCCTGGACCCGGTGGCTTAAAACTCACTCCAGGCGCGTGTGCATGTGTGCCCAAGATCCCAAGAGAATGGAGGAGAAGGAATTGCAGTGTGGCCATCCCCCCTGGGGGGTGATTTCTCGCTTTCTGTCTCTCTGTCTCTCTTTGTCTTTCTGACGAGTGCATGCGCCCTATAGCAAAAACCTCTCACCAAAAAAAAAAAAAAAAAAGAGAGAAAGATATTAATAAAAAGGGAAACAGAAAAAAAAAACAGGAATGATTGGGAGACTACTTTGCTGTTATACCTTGTTTTTCTTCAGAATTTAGACCATTACATCATTACCTGATCAAAAAAAAAAAAAAAAGCAAAAACAAACCAAAAAAATATTAGTCATTTAAAAGTGACAGTGAACTTACCAAATCCCTGCTGCTATAAAAGTAGCCGTTGTAATGGGTACCAGCATTGGATATTTGACATCATACTCTTCAATTCCACGATACCATTCCAGATAGACTATGCAGTAACATGCAACTGACAAACTGACAAGCAGCAAGCCACCACCAAAGAGAAACCAACTGTGAAGACAAAAAATGATGCAAAGGTTGGAAGCACTTAGCAGATCAGCAGGTATCATAAAAGTTGTCACTGGGCCAGCCAGGTGACAATGGTGGTTAAGGTAGCTGGAGCCCACATGGCCAAACTATATAGTTTGGGTTCCAGACCCACAGCTTGAAAATCATGCCAGGCATGTGTGCTTGTGTGCCCAAAATCCCAAGAGAGAATGAAGAAGAGATTGCAGCATGGCCTTCCTTCATGGGGAGTGATTTCTCACTTTCCTTCCCTTTCCCCTTCTGTCTGCCTCTCTCTGGAGAGTGCACACACCCTATAGCATTAAAAAAAAAGTCACTAATGGTCTAAAAATCCATTTCTAAACAGGATTATCACCTGGAAAAGGAGTGCAGACGGACCCATAATTACACAATCCCAATTTTCAGAGAGGCTTACTCTAATGGGATATGGGGTGAGAAAACATGAGACATGTGACTCACAAAAGATTTAAAAAGTAATAGATAAGCATGAGTTTATGAGGGGGTCTTGAAAAGTTCATGGAAAGTGTAAAGAACTGCACACGGATTTCAGAAATAAACTTATATTGGGACCAGCAGTTGGCATAATGGCCACGTCGCTGGACACCCATGTAGTCGACTGCAGTTCGAGTCCCGGACCCTGTGGCTTAAACTCACACCAGGCACGTGTGCATGTGTGCCCAAGATCCCGAGAGGAGAATGGAGAAGGGATTGCAGCGTGGTCATCCTCCCTGGGGGGTGATTTCTCACTTTCTGTCTCTCTCTCTCTCTCTCTCTCTCTCTGTCTTTCTGGCGAGCACATGTGCCCTACAGCAAAAACCTCTGCAAAAAATAAAAATAAAGGGAACCAGCAGTTAGCGTAATGGCTACGTTGCTGGACTCCCACGTAGTCGACCGCAGTTCGCGTCCTGGACCCGGTGGCTTAAAACTCACACTGGGCACGTGTGCATGCGTGCCCAAGATCCCGAGAGGAGAATGGAGGAGAAGGGATTGCGGCATGACCATCCCCCCTAGGGGGTGATTTCTCGCTTTCTGTCTCTCTGTCTCTCTCTGTCCGTCTGGCGAGCGCACGTACCCTATAGTGGAAAAAAACCTCTCCAAAAAAAAGAAAAAAGAATAAATAAATAAATAAATAAATAAATAAAAATTAAAAACTCATACTTTAATTCCATTTTTCCACAAAATTTTGAAGTATCTGTAAATCAACCATCCAACCAGTTAGGATGATGAGTTTCCTTTTAAAAATAAAAAAAAAAGAAAAGGGGCCGGCAGGTGGCATTGTGGTTAAAGGTGCTGGACTCCCCACATGTTCAAGTCCCAGACCTAGCAGCTTGCTTGCTAGCTTTCTCTCTCTCTCTCTCTCTGTGTGTCTTGCTATCGTCAAATTAAACATATAATAAAGGAAATTTCATATATATAGTCAGCAGGTGGTACAGTGATTAATGCACTGGACTCCCATATGACTGACCACAGTTCAAGTCCTAGACCTGGCAGCTGGCTTTCTTACTTACTTTCTATCTCTATCTCTGGTGAGTACATGTTTCCTATAGCAAAAATTTTAAATAGCAACAATAAAATAAATAAAATTAATGTTAATCTTAAAAAAAAAATACATGAAAGATGGAGGGTTTCTGGTTGTTTTGAGCTTGTTTTGTTTTTTTTTTTTTCAGACAGACAGAAACATAAAGATAGAAAGCGAGAAATCACCCCCCACGGGGGATGGTCACGCCGCAATCCCTTCTCCTCCATTCTCCTCTTGGGATCTTGGGCACGCCCGCACTCACACGTGCCCAGCATGAGTTTTAACACACTGGGTCCGGGACGTGAACCGCAGTCGACTATGTGGGAGTCCAGCGACATAGCCATTACGCTAACTGCTGGTTCCCTTGAGCTTGAGTTTTTTACTGCCATTTTTAGTTTGCCATAGAGTACACGTGTCTATCAAAGGGATGGGGAGAGTGAGAAATCACCCACCAGAGGAGAAGGCCATGCTGCAATCCTTTTTCTTCTAGTCTCCTCCCAGGACCGTGGGCACGCATATACAGGCACCCAATGCAACTCTCAAGTCGCCAGGTCCCAGACTTGAACCACGCAGTCAGCCATGTGGGATCCAGGAGCCCCAACCTCCAGGCCACCTGCTGGTCTGTTTCTAAAGTGTTAAATGTGAGATTAATATTCACAGCAGCTAACTCCTCCAAGTAGAGTTCCTTAGAATACTGGGAATCAATCTGGAAGATATTTAATTCATATTCTCTCATAAAGATTTCTTAATGAAACCTTTCCGATTTCAGAATATCTCTAATCCTCCCTAAAGGACAGTGCATCTTTGCTCCCTTCCGATTTCACGCCTGACTCAGTGTGAGGCAGCCTCGACAGCTCCCTTCCTACGGGTCCACTCGGTCATGGGAGGAAGAAAAATGATCGGCGAAGTGCTTTTCACACAGCTAACCCTCTATGGTGATCATTATTATCCCACTGATCTTATCTGTAAGAAAAATACTTCCATGTTCCTCTACAAAGACCCCTCTTCTGCAAGTGTGCATTCTCAATGACAGGATATCACCCTCGGGGTGAAGAAGAAAGCTGTTACTGCAGAAATAGAGCTCAGATATATACATGCAGTACATAAGCAACTATAAAATTTATTTGCGGCATTAAAATTCCATAGGATAGGGTGGCAATTTTAGGGGAAAAAAATGTTTCAAAAAGGCTTATTACGTGCAATGATAAAAGGAAAGCTGAGGAGTCCTATGCTCGAGAGAGAGTGATCTTGCATCACTGAAATCCTTTTAGGGTCAGCTGATGGCCTGGTGGTAAAGGTGGCTGGATCCCACATGGGTGACAGAGTGGTTCAAGTCCTGGATCCAGTGGTTTAAGAAACACTCCGGGCATTTATGTGTGCATCCTAAAATCCCAAGAGGAGAATGAAGGAGAAGGAACTGAGACATGGCCATCCCCCACTGGGGGTGCTTTCTCACTTTCCCTCTCTCATTCTTACTTTCTCACTTTCTCTTCCTCGCTGGCAAGCAAACATATCCTATGGCAAATCTTTTAAAAGAATTATTTTAGGGAACCAGCAGTTAGCGTAATGGCTAATACTGTTGTACTCCCCGTAGTCAGTCGACCGCGGTTCGTGTCCCGGACCCAGTGGCTTAAAACTCACGCCGGGCGCG